TACACAAATAAAAATGATATTCACATTTATAGACACGAATAGGAATAAATAAGAGTCGTCAACAATTTAAGCCTTTGTTTAGTATGAAAGGTTTTTGGATTTTTTACTTAAAATAATTACAAAAAAAACAAAATAAATTTTTTCAACTCAATAACACAAATTGTTTTGAAAAGTTGGTAAAAAATTAATTTTTTGACTTTTTTAGTCTATTTTATCTTTTTGTAAGTAAAAAATGTGAGAGGTAATGTGACCCAAAATGAGTAAAAAGCCAAAAACTTGTGTTTTTATCTCTTCTCAAAAGAGCCCAAAATGTCATGTCTAAATTATAATTATTTTATTTTTTCTCTCACAAAAATTCAAAAAAAAAAAAAAATCTATCTCAAACAAAACTTTTTAAATCTAAACTAAAATAATTAAAAAATTAAAAAACTAATTCACATCCTAAACGAAACCTAAATAATTTAAGAATTTTAGTGAGGGATGTCTCTTCTTTTTGTGCAGTAATATTTGTGTTAAGTGTACATATGAATGACTATGACACGTTCAATCCACCCCCCACACACTTAGCCTCAGTTTGAAAAGTGGGTTAATTTTTTTACTTTTTAACTTTTTTGACTATTTTAATTTGAGCTGAAAAACTTGGTTTGAAATTTTTTTTTTGACTTTTTAAATTTTTTTTGCAAGAGAAAAATGTAATGATTATGAATTTGATGTGATATTTTATTTGTTGTGTCTGAAATAACCTATTTTATCTTTTATAACTATTTTAACCACAAACTAACTTGCTAAACAACACCTTATGTATTTTTCTTGGACAGCTAGGCTAGCTATGGAAACAAGCCCACCTACCCTTGGTGAACCTTTTGGACATTGTTTTATCTCCAATAATTTTTTATTTTGATATGTTTCACCAGCTGTGTAGTAGTGCCGCACCACAACAACCCATTCAATTATGCAATGGCGTATTTTAAGTGAAAAATTAATAATTACAAAAAAATAAGTTAAATGTATCTTTTTTAATTTTTAAATTAAAACAATTTATAATCAATTCATTTAAGCGGCAGCAAACAATCCCAATGCCTAAATCACACAAAGTTGCGATGAATTTACTTAGATGTAGCAAAATCATGAGAGAGGTTCCTCGTGGAGGTTACTTTATAGTTTTAAAATAATATTTTCCTACATTTATCTTGTGATTGTTGTTTTTCTACGAAATTTTTAATTTAAGATCTTTGATATTAAATATTCAACATTTTTAGTTTAAATTCTTTGAGAAACTTAGCTCGTCACAAATTTTTTTGTGATAAATAAAAATTTCTGTAATAATATTATTATGTGACCTTAATAAATAAACAAAAATATAATAGACATTTCCTACTTAGCCTTCGTTTGGCAATGACCTTTTTAGTTGGCTTTTTGACTTTTTTGAATTTTTTAACCTGAGATTTTTTTATTCGTTTGATATTCATAATTGGCTTTTTTGGCTTTTTAACTTTAGAATGGTAGATTTTTTATTTATTTATTTATTTTTTTTTGTCCTTTTGTGATTTTTGACTTTGTGATTTTGACTTTTTTGTGTTCTTTTTTTTTATTTTTTAGCCCAACTCAAAAACCAAACAACCCTTTATTATCCAAAAGCCTATTTTGAGAAATACTTTCTATTTTTTTTTTTGAAATAATATTTAAAAAAAAATAAAGAAGTGATGTGACTCAAAAAAATCAAAAATCAAAAAACTGACTTTTAACTAATTTTTCAAAATAGGCCAAAGTTCAAAAGACATGTTTCATTAATTTTTTTTATTTCTTTTTTTAATAAAAAAATTACATAAAGTAATGATCTTCTCATTTGAACCAATAAAACTCTTAAAGCATTGTTTGTGATGTGCTATTTAAGTGTATTTTTTGATTTTTTTGACTAAAAAGGTAGAAAAAAATGTATATTCCGGACAACTTTTTATTTTTTACTAAAAGATATATAATAAAATATTATAATAAAATCAAAATGGTCATTCTATTCTTGTTAACTGTTTGACTTTAAACTTTTTGACTCTTGTATAGTGAAATTTAAAGGGTAAAATTATTCCCTCACAAGCTTTCCCAAATAATATGAACTTTTTGAATTTTTTTTAATAACTTTATGACCTTTTAACTTTTATAAATTATCCCAAACAAGACCTAAATAATTTTGGAAAAATTACAACTTTAGTGATAATTTGAAAAAAATTATAATTATAATTATTAATATTGAAAAAATTTATTATTATTTTTTTAAAGATGTGAAATTTCCCCAATAATTTTCCTTCCTAACGTGTCTCAGTGCACAAAGGTGTCAGGGTCACCGACTGTTGTACTCTTTGATAGCCTATTTCAATTCACTTCGGTTTCTAATTTTTAGAATTTACGTTTTTAAAATTTTTGGCCTTGTTTGATTTGTTTTTCAAAAAAAATTTTGAGAAAAATTCTCTATAAACAAATTTTTACGAGCAATCAATCCAAACAAATTTTTTTTAAAAAAATTTCAAAATTTTATTTGATTACTTACTTTTCAAAATCACTCACCCTCTCATACACATCAAATCAATCACTTTTTTTAAAACTCTCTTCCCAAAATAATTTTACAAAACCATTTCTAAAAAAAGACGAACCAAACAAGTTTTCATATTTTTTATCTCAAAAATTACTCTACAAACACAAACCAAGCACACACTTTTTCGTATTTAATATATTTTTTATTTTAACTGAATTTTTTAATATTTTAAATAATTTTTTTAATTTTTAAATACACCTAATATAAATATACTTAAAAAATATAATATTTACAAAAAAAATCACTAAATATAAAAAATATAAAAAAAATGAAAATTCATATTTTCATATTCTTGTATATTTATTGATTCTTTAAAATATTTTTTTACAATATTTTACTTTATAAATAGAACTAAGTAAGATGCATCTAAAAAAATACTTAAAATTTTAAACGTATTCACTAAAAACAAAAAACAAAAAACAAAAAAAATAATTTTCAAAAAATTAAATTCATAAAATTAATACCAAATACAGTGAATACTTCCTGTGTGAGTCAATTTCTAATCACACTACCAAACATGTACTCAGCTGGTAAACACTAGCAGAATAGATTGTGCCCGAACGACCTGTAACAAAAAGAAAAGATTCCGGCAGTGGTTTGTCCACCTGGGGGCACTCCGACGATCAACTCAGTTATCTCTCAAAGATAGCAAAAGTGTTTAACTCACTATTCAAAATACAAAAAGTGTACCTTAGACACATGAGGGTGCCTCTCTTTTATAGCCAACACTGTCCCAATCCCAATAAAAGCCTAGCTTCAATGGACTTAAGATTACTACTTATCTTGGACTTCTAGTAGGATTAGGATAAACTCTCTAAGAGTCTTATCTTTACCCAAACTGAAGTTTTCTCTCATTATAGGACTCTTGTCCTTTATTTGTTTATCTCGGATTCTGGTATTCTCGCAGATAACCTTGGCCTAGCCGAGATTACCTTGGCATCATGTCCAGAACACGCGGCACCTCGGCCACGCGTTGTCATTCAAGAATTTATTTTTTCGTATTTCATATTTTTTTTTATTTTAACTGGATTTTTTAAATATTTTTTTTATTTTTAAATACACCTAATATAAATACACTTAGAAAATATAATATTTACATAAAAATCATTAAAAAATACACTAAATGCCAAAAATATATAAAAAAATACATTTTTCGTATTTTGTGTATTATTTAATTTTTTAAAAAAATTTCACAAATAATTTATAATTTAAATACAACTAAAAAATTAAAAAAATTACTTAAAATTTAAAAAATATTTTAAAAAAAAACACGAAAAAATAAAAAATTCAATTTAAAAAAGGTCTCAGGGTCAGCGCCTGTTGTACTTTTTGATAGCATCAAATCGCTTCTAAATAATAAGAGCAATGTTAGGGTTCAAATAAATTATGAAGGGTGGTTTTGGATGATTTAAATAAGTGTATTTTTTAATTTTTTGTGAAATATGAGTTGAGTATGGGTTGAGTTTGAAGTAATATGATAGAGAGGTGATATGACTTAAATAAGATAATGTGACTTAAATAGGATAATGACTTTTTAACTTTTTGACTTTTTTAGAGTACCCCAAACAAAGCCCAAGTATCAAATCTTTTACATAAGTGTAAAATTTATCCAAATTACATTATACGAGAGATTTAATAAAAAAATTGATAATTCATTTGAAATTTATACCATTTTCCAAATAATAATACTTCTTTCCTCTCAAAATAATAATCACCCTGTTGGTTTCTAATTTTTAGAATTTACATTATTCCATATTTTTTTGTTTTAACTGAATTTTTTAAATATTTTAAACAATTTTTTTAATTTTTAAATGCATCTAACATAAATACACTTAGAAAGAATACCAAACAATACACTTAAATACAGCTAACATAGATACAATTAAATACAGCTTAGATGTATTTAAAAAAATACGCTAAATACCAAAAATATAAAAATAAAAATAAAAATTTAATATATTTTTCATATTTTGTGTATTCATTAATTTAAAAAAATATTTTTTCACATATAATTTACTATTTATAATTACATAAATTAAAAGAAAATTGATTGAGAATGAGTATTTTTAATTGAGAAATGTTTGGGATTTTTTTTTAGAATTTCATAACTCCAATTTAACCTTGGCCTTTGGTGTGTGTAAGGCCATTCATATATGTACGTGTGCACTCCACATTATTATGAGCGGTTAAAATGAGAGTAGAGATTGTGAGGGTCATGTATACGTGGGAGTCTCTATCACAATTATTTTTAATTTTAGCTTTCTAATTATCATTTTTACCTTGCAACAAAATTGCATAAAAAAAAAAAAACTAATAAATTATGCATTGGAATCACACACTGAGATGTAGAGTTAAAACAGAGGGGATTAATCAGCAGTGTGTAGTTCTTTTGAAAGACATTTGAAGAACTTACCCAGAAGTGAGGCCTGGCTTGAGAAAGGCTTCCTTTCCTTCTAAATCTGCTACCATCATTCTCATCATCTCCAGAATTTGCTATGTCCATGGAAGATGAATAGACAAAACTACCCCTACCCCGACCCCTTTTACTACCCTTAACAAGGTTAGTAGTATTACCCTTTCGTCCCCAAGAACCAAACAACCCTCTCTTCCTATGGACCATAGAACCAAGCTGCCCTCTCTCAGGACTCCCACCACCACCACTCCTGCCAAATGACAAAACTGCCGTCTCGGTGAACCTGAATGAGGATGACTGAAACACAGGGATATAAGGACCGTCAAGGACGGCGGTGGGGGAGGGCGTTTTGGTCATTTTGGACTGAAGCCTTGGAGGTAGCTCTAAGCTGCTATTAGTTCTAGTGTTTATGAGGGCGGTGCAGGGGTGGGGCTTCCCTGGGTGTTCTTCCCACCGGAATGGGACGGCAGCGGAGGGGTTGAGGGGTGGTGTTAGCATCCCTGAACGGTGGTCCGGTGACTGCATTGGTGGCAGAGTTAATAGTGGAAGCTTTGGTATGGAACTTGCCTCTGCTTCTGCCGCCACAGATCCCATTCTCTCTCTCTCTTTCTCTCTCTCTATACTTCCACACTATAGAGATAGCCTTTTAGGAATGAGATTATTGTGCCCCTGTTTGGGAAGACGCTTTTTGCATTTGTTTTTGTATTTTTTTTTTTTTTTAATATTTACAAAAGATAAAATAGATTATTTTAGTCTCAACAAATAAAATATCACATTTAATTCATAATTATTACATTTTTTTTTCAAAAAAAAATCAAAAAATTCTTTTCAAATTAAACTTTTTAATACAAGTTAAAATAATCAAAAAAATCAAAAATTAAAAAATCCATTCACTTTCCAAACGAAACCTGTTTTTACTTGAGAGTGGGAAAATGAAAAAGTAAGACCACGAATGAAGAAATGGGGATGATGAATGACGTTTCACGCTTTCATATTTATGATGGTGAATAGAGAGATCTCAAATGAAATAAATATTTTTTATCAAATATTTATATGTTGCGTACGAGTAGCAATGTTGCAGTAGTAAGGCTTTTTTTTTTTTTATTACCAAAGTGACCCACCCGCCCGCCACCGTCTGTCACTCACTTGCACTCACCATTCATCACTCATCACCTGTTACCGTCACCCACCCACCACTATCACCACCTGTCACTTACCTGTCACCACCCGTCATCCGTCACCCGTCACCCACCTGCCACCACCATTCGCTACCATCCACCACTCGCCACCGTCACCCATTCACCCACCACCACCACCACCCACCATCCGCCACCCACCTACCAAATTTGGTCAAAAAATGAAAACACAAAAAATGTGTTTCCATTTTAAGTTTTTCAATTTTTTTTTTTTACCACCCAACACTAGCCACACCCACTACTATTTTCCACACCCCCTATCTGCCATCACCACCCACCCCACCACCACCACCACCACCCACCCGCCACCACCCACCGTCACTACTTTTCACCACCGTCTTCCGCCGCCACTTGCCACCACTTGCCATTTCTCACTCTTTTTTATATTTTTAAATTTTTTAAAAATATTTTATCAATTACCAAACACGTTTGTAGTTTATGTTTTTCTAAAAATAAACAAAAACTAATTTATAAAAATTTTGTAAATATAAACTGAAAACGTAAACGTTACCAAACACACCCTTAACATACGGACTTTTCACCAACAAATATCCTTATGTCCCCAATAGAATCACTCTTGTCCTTGATGACTTGGGGTGGGGATATGGATTTGTCAAGGAGTTTCCCTTTTTTTAATTTATATTTGTATAATTTATTGTCTATTGCAATTGTCTCATAACAATTCTCCTTCTTTACCTCCTTAGGAATAGGCTAAATATATAAATTGTATTTGAATTTTCAAAAAAAACAAAGAAACAAAAAAGAAGAAGAAAAGAGGGTTTGGTTTTGAAATTACAAGGTGTATCATTAGTTAAATATTTCATTCTTCTCTCTCTTGAGACTAACTTTATAACTTAAGCCCGCTTAGAGGGGGAAAACTCTAATACAACGGTGCTACCATGTTATTAGTATCATCATTCAATAAACTCTTGTCTTTTACCTTATGTATATATAGAAAGACAATTGTTAGGTCGACCCTTAGCATCACATGACTTTATTGTGTGTTGGTGATACTACGTCATTAGTATCACTATTGCACTGAAGCTATTGCTTGTATTTATTTGTTACAATAACTCAACAAATTTTTTTGAGGCATTAATCATGAGCTGCTCAATAGTTTTTCATTTTTTGATATATTTGACTATATTATTTTTGACTTTATTGAGTGTTGATCATTGAAAGAATGGATAATAAAATACTTAATTTAATAAAAAAAAAAAGTTAGAATACAGTGTCTAATGGATGGTTTATTTGAAAAGGTCGCTACATAAAACAGAAAAGTGATTTTTGAATTGTAATTTAGTTCAGGGTCAAATCTATAAAAATTTGATAAACTGAATAGATAATGAATAGTACCTCAACAAATTTATTGAGTTACTGTAACAAATATAAATAATAACTAGTTATAGAATTAGTTTGTTGAGACGGATGAAATACTATTGTTATGGTTTACTAGCTATATTCAGCTAGAAAATTAATTTGTTGAGACTAATGTGGTTTGGAATTTCTTTTTTAACAATTTTTTACTTTTTTATTTGTTTTAAATATTTTTATTGAGCTTTTTTTTAAAATGTTTTTTTTCACTTCTAGATGTTTGTAAACTAGAAAATTCTGAAATTTTTAAAAAGTCCACAAAAGATAAAAAAACAACTAAAAAGTTGATTTATTTTCTCCTTTTTTTTTTAGTAAATTTTTATTTGGAATTTTTAATTTAATTTTTTAAATCGCTCTAGATTAGAAGAATTTAAAAAAAAAAATTTCCAAAGAAATCACTAAAAAACAAAATAAAAAACTTTTTTTGTAATTTTTAATTGTCGGTAATCAAGGCCTTCCTAATATATATGAGATGGGGACTATGCAAGGGTGTAGTTAGGGGCAAAATCTTTGACAATCTCACGAGCAAATATATATGGGAGAAATTATTTAACAGTGACAATAATAGTAAATTATTATAGAATTATAAAAAAAAATTATAATTTTAATTATTAACCTATATAGATAAAGTTACCATTTAACCGTAATTATTTTTTAAAAATGTACACTGCATTGAAATTTTTTCATATATATGGGTTAATTTCACTCTTATTTCTTAAACTATTACTAGTTTTTAATTTTTATCATTACTAAATTATTGATTTTTTTATTTAATTATTGCCCATTGTGCTCTTGGTCAAGTATTAATATCCTTTTTTGGTTATTCCACCATATAACTCTTTGACAGAAGTAAGTAATGTGACAAACATATGACCATGAAAATGATGGCAAAAGAGAAAAATCACATTCATTTCTCGCTTATACACATTTCTTTTCAAAATTTATATCAAATTATGATTGTATTAGGCTGAAATAAAACACAGATTGTCAATGGTTAAGGAGATGAATTAGGGTTTTGCATAAATTGAAATCACAAAACTTTGTTTTCTACAATAATACAATTTTATGTCTGTCTCTCTTATTTTCTCTTCAATTTTTCTGCTATCTTTTTTATTTTAAAAGTTCTATTTTCTTATCTACTCGTTCCAATTTTTAGCATATATATATAGTACTATATAACTTTCGCGTACTTATCACGTAAGACAAAGTATGTATTGATGGAAAATATAAATGATTTTATTGTTAAAGATTCAAACAATAGAGTAATAGTAGAGAGATATTGATACTTGTATAGGAGTCAAAGTGAGATTTGACTAGAAGTACAGAGGTTAACTATCACGATTTCGAATGTAGGGACCAAAATAGGATTTATTATAAAGTGTAAGGATGCAAAGTATAATTTATATTTATATTTGGAAAATACTATAAATCCCAACAAATTTACTAAAAGAATTATGATTGGTAGCTTGAATTTCATCTTATCCCAAATGGCTTGAATTTTGTCTTGCCGGTCATCTGACAAGAAGGTTGATAGTCACAGTCGACAAGGTGACAACCGCGATGACAAGTATTACACCAGTTGTTCAGGCAGTCAATCGACAAGCATAATTCTAGCTACCAATCTTTATTGCTTAGTGAAAAAACTACAAAACACGCATGAGGGTAACAAATTTACTAAACAAAAGAACAATGCTACGTAGCTCGAATTTCATCTTACCCGAATGGCTCGAATTTTGGCTTATCGATCAACCGGCTGGTTATCCGGCAAGAAAGCTGATAGCCACGATCGATAAGGTGACAACTGCGGTAGACAAATGTTGCACCGATCATCTTGGTGATCGACCGGCAAACACAAATTTAAGTCATTCGGACAAGCTCAATTTGAGCTATCAATCTTTATTTTTAAAAAAAAAAAAAAACTATCAAACAACACACACAAGTGTGCCACACCCATATGTGTATTTTGTGGTTTTGAATAAAGATTGGTAGCTCGAATTAAGCTTGCTCAAATAGCTCAAATTTGTACTTGTTGGTTTATCACCTAGATGATTAGTGCAACACTTGTCTATCGTAGTTATTATCTTATCAGCCATGATCGATAAGTTGACAACCGCAATAGACAAATGTTGCACTGGTCATCCAGGTGGTCATCTGGGTGATTCACCAGCAAACACAAATTTAAGTCATTCAAACAAGCTCAATTCGAGCTACCAATCTTGTTTTTTATAAAAAAAAACTACCAAACAACACACACAAGTGTGCCACACTCATATGTGTATTTCATAGTTTTTGAATAAAGATTGGTAACTCGAATTGAGTTTGCTTAAATAGCTCAAATTTGTACTTGTTGGTCTATTGCCTAGACGATCGGTGCAATACTTATCTATCATAGTTATTATTTTATTGATCGCCTGTCAACCTTCTTACCGGACAACCGATCGAATAACGAGCAAGCCAAATGTTGACCATCCGGGATAAGATGAAATTCAAGTTACTCTTCATGATTCGTAATTTTTTTGATAAATTTGTTGGTAACTTTAGAATTACTCTTTCTATTTTCTATTTTTCAATTATATCATATAAAGAAAATAATAATAAAATTAATATTATAATGTATACTTAACCTGAGTGGTATAAATCCTACTATTTTAAACCTATGATCATGGGGTTCAAATTTTATCCACTCTTTGTATAATTTTTTAAAAAAAATAAATAAATATTGTTTCTCGAATGGTTCGAATGTCTCAAAACAATATTGTTTTGAGGATAAAACGATATCGTTTTAGGGCTTGGCTTCTGTCCTTGCTGTTGGGCCCGTGGAGGCCTACCACGACTCCCGTTTTGATAATCTGAACCGTTTAATGTGTAGAAATCGTCGAGTGCTATAAGCCTGTAAAAAATCACGTTAATTGGATAGCGGTAGCCATGTGATCAAATCAGTTTTGTATAAAAAAATGAACGGTGAATAAATTAACGGTTGACAAAAATCTGACTTGATCACATAGCTACTGATATCCGATTAACGTGATTTTTTACAGACTTATAATACTCAACGAGTTCTACATATTGAACGGTTTAGATTATCAAAACGGGACC